AGCCTATAATATTCAAAACATAATTTAGTTTCAGATTTTAAATTAATTAAAATATAGTTGAATAAAAATATTTTTTCCCGATGTAATAATTACATTTTCTTGACTGTTTGTCATGTTAACTACATTAATAAATTCTTTAGAATTTAAATCCATGTTATTCATGTTACCTAATGCATTAACTTGTATTATTTGTCTGTCTTGAGTAAATCGTGAGCTAAAAGTAGGCTGACTCAATTCGAAATTTGAAAGTTCTTGAAAAAAGTTGTACATGTTAATTATGTTATAATTAACAAAAATACATGAGAGTGAAAACCTGGAACCGATCATAGTAAATCATTAAATCGGTTTCACTCTCACGCACTCATATATATATATATGCATTTCAAAATATAAATAAATTTTAAAAATGTTACCTATCTTGCGACCAAGAAACTTTGCTCGAGATTCGACACGTATTCGAACAACCTTACGCTTAACCAAAGAAGCGATGGGAACTCTGGAAACTCTCGATGATGTATCATGAACGTCAGAGAAATGATTATTAAAGAATTGAGGTAATGAATTATGATTAATTGATTCCAAGAAACTTTGAATTCTTTCTTGATCACTATCATTATCATTATAAAAAATTAAAGTTTCAGGCATAAAGTTAAATTTTTAAGGACAAAAAATTTAGAGAATATACTTACATGTCGAATTTCTCCTCATATTCAAAAGATACATCAAGTAAGATCCAAATCATTAATATTATTATGATAATAATCTCATACCATCCAATTTTCACAAAGTTGAATAATATTGGAAAATGAAAACCACTATATCGCGTAATAATTACCGAAGCATAACCACCAGTATAAAAGAGTAAACAAGACACTAACTTTATTACCAAGTGTCGATTAAATGTATAATTTTCATCGAAATCAGAAATAATAAAAGTTAAAAGAAATAAAGTTCCAAGTATGAAATTTATGACCAATAATTGTGTTTTAATATCAGAAGTGATATAAGCTTTGACAACAAAGTTTGAGATCCATACTATAAGCATTGATAACACACCATTAACAAGTAAAATAAAGTGTTTAGTGAATATTGTAAACATTTTTTTTTTTCAAAGGTATGAACAAAAGATTCAAGTTTTCTAATTAAATTGAAAAAAAAATTAATTGAAGAAATTAGTTATATAGAAATGAACTTAAATAGAATTAAAATTAATTACGTATATCTATATTTATAAATGCGCTAGCTAACCGAAACCATGTTATATTCATTATTGATGAAGCGCGTCATTATGAAATATAACAACCGATCTATCATTATCATTATCTGTTTATCATGCGAGAGAAAAAAAATCATATACTGTATCAAAAATATAACGAATACGTCAGGTTATGTCAACAATAACAGATAATACCGTTTATGTTTTACGTACTTACGTACCATAAAAATTTCCGGCACGTGCGTTACTTTTCGTTATCGTTTCGTTATCGTCATCGTCATTTTGTCTTATTTTAATACCATTTAATTACTATATTATATATAACGATTAAAACGATAACCTGTACGACGTGTACTTATGTATGTATCTACATACGGTATATGTATATGTAAGTTATCTACATAGATGTAAGTGATATACATAGATGTATGTACGTGGCGTTTAAAATTTCTAATAATAGCATTGTCAATACTGATAATGAAAACTTTGAGAATTAACGTTAAGGTTGTATTTACCGTTGGGTTGGCAGTACCCAGATCTTATTCATTTTAAAGTTGAATAGTACCAGGTATTATTCATGAATCCAGAAATCTTATTGGTAATCTCATTGGTAATCTCATTCGGTAGGATATCGATAAGCAGTTAGCCCAACAGTAGATGCTTTTTTAGAATTTCTTGATATAGATAATTATTTCTTGATCAATCTCAATTATCGTTATTTATCAAAAAAAACATCAAAAAAAAACTATCGTGTAAGTACTAATGAATTTATGTCCTATGATCAAATTTGTTATACTTTTAAGGTTTTTGTGCATGAAACTAATTGTAACACACTATCAATATTCATATTATGTAGCATTAAACTCCGAACTAATAAAAAATGATGTAGTACCATTACGCCATTTTCTATATCAAAACGCCGTGATATAAATAAAGAATCGGTATTTCGCGCGAATTTTATTAAAATACTTTTCTTTTTAAAAAAGAATCGTGCATTCGTATATCGTATTGTACATTCTTTTTTTTTCTTCTTCTTCTTTTTAATAACGTAACGATAAATCGAAAAGTTCAACTTAAACATGATTTCTCTTACGCGCTCCAAGGTTGGAGCTCTATTCCTTGTTACTGGAGCATTAGTATTATTATGTCACATTGCTTCGTCTCAACTTTTGAATCAAAGAGAAATCTTTATTAACAGGTTGAAATGGTCAAGCGATGATCTTGATGATATAACAAACAATATTTTCGATAAATTTGATCAAGTGACGATTAATATTAATCAGAAGAATCATCATAATAATCATAAGAATAAATGGGCAAAAGTATTAACTCATGAAGATTTCCCTGATTATAAAATTAAAATGAAAGAACCACATATGTGTGATGAAACTGTTAAACAGGTTTGTAAACTTTGTATTATAATTTATATCATGTTCAAACTTGATGAAACTTATAAAGACTTTATGAAAATGTTTTTTGATCTTAGTATTCTGGATATCTTGATGTTGGTACCAGGAAACATTTCTTCTTTTGGTTCTTTGAATCGAGAAGTAATCCTCAAACTGATCCAATCGTTCTTTGGGTATATATAAATATAATAACTTGACAATTTATCATCTTTTAAAACTTGTGTATTTAATATTACTTTTTATATTTCTTGATTCCTTTTATATTAATTTAAAATAGCTTAATGGTGGCCCTGGGTATGATAATATTTAAAGATTTACTAATGTTTACTAATGCTTATAGTCGATTAATATTAACGTCGATGCTAATGTTAAATGCTTTCTTAATAATTCATTTAGATGTTCTTCCTTAACGGGTTTATACTTTGAGCTTGGTCCTTGCTCAGTTAACGAAGACGGAACTGATACTATTTTTAATCCTTACTCATGGAATAACAATGCTAGTATTATTTTCTTGGATCAAGTATGAATCAAAAACAGTTTACATGTTTTTACGTTTTTTTTTTATCTCTAATATATTATCTCTAATAACATAAATATTTGTAGCCAATTAATGTTGGATATTCTTATGGTAGCGGTGTGTCCAATTCATTGGCTGCTGCCACTGATGTATACGCGTTTTTACAAATCTTTTTCCAAGAATTCCATCAATATGCCAATTTGGATTTCCATATTGCTGGTGAATCGTACGTAAAATTGTTTTTTAATCTTTGTTAATCTTATTATATAATATAATTTATATAAATAACTCGAATCAACTTTTTTTAATTTGTTAACTTTGTTGTTAATAGGTATGCTGGACATTACATACCTGCCATAGCAGCAGAAATTAACAATAATAATAAAGGAACTTCTTCATGGATTCTTGCCAATCAACCCAAAGAACTTAAACATATCAATCTTGAATCCATCTTGATTGGAAATGGATTAGTAGACCCTCTAGTACAATACAAATATTACGCAGATATGGCCTGTAACTCTTCTTATGCACCCGTATTAGAAGAATCCACATGTGATCAAATGAGAAATGCTTATCCTCAATGTGCATCTATGATTCAACGATGTTATGATTCTTCAAATTCATTCTCTTGCTTACCTGCTTCAATGTATTGTAACAGAGAAATGATTCAACCTTATCAACAAACTGGTAAAAATGTTTATGATGTAAGAAAAGACTGTGATGGTGGTGGTTTATGTTATCCAATTTTAAAAGCCATTGAGAAGTTTTCTAACCTTGGAGTTGTTAAAGCTGAATTGGGTGTTGATTCTTCGGTGGAATATAAAAGTTGTAACATGGAAATTAACTTCAGATTCCAACTTGCCGGTGATTGGTATGTTATACAATCTTTAAAATTATTTTTACGAAAAAAAAAAAATAGTTTAACGAAAATTTAACAAAAAAAAAAAAAAATTTAAAAATACATTTTTCTAAAAAAAATTATATTTAATTTTTTTAATCTAGGATGCGTCCTTATCACTTATTGATCCCACCGCTTTTGGAAAACAATATTCGAGTATTGGTATACGCAGGTAATATTATTAACGATTTAAGAAAAAACTTTCTTCATTCAATTTAATTGAAAATATATATTTTTTTCATTCAATTTTATTGATAATTTAATTGAAAAATATTTTTTATAGGTGATGCTGATTTTATTTGTAATTGGATTGGTAAGTAATTATTACTAAATTTATATTACAATAATTTCTTGTCAAATTTATATTACGTAATTATATATCGCATACTGTGTTTATTCTAAATATATTAAACAATTATTACAATTAGGTAACGAAGCATGGGTAAAAGAACTTAAATGGAGTGGTGAACAAGGTTTTAACGATGTCAAAGTTACTCCTTGGAAAACATTAGACGGAGAACATGCTGGGGATGTTAGAACCTATAAAGGATTCACGTTCTTGAGAGTTTTTGAAGCTGGGCATATGGTACCCTATGATCAACCACGTCCAAGTTTAGATTTCTTTAATAGATGGTTGTTCAAGAAAGATTTGTAAAATGGAAGCCAGGTTCTCTCTTTTATTCGAATTATTTGAATGTTGATAGTAGCTTTATTTATAGTAGCTTTAAGAATTTTAACGAGTTTGAACGATAGATTTTACAGATACGATATGACATTATTTTTTATTATTTAGATCAGATATGTTTATTCTTAGTTAATTTTTAAAGAATAAAACTTGATGTAAAATTGGTGCTTTTATTTATAATAAACATATGTACTGAGTTGTATTTCTGATATTAATACATATATATTAGGAAAGTTTAAAATCCCACATAAGTATTATTGTTATAATATCAAGTGCTACGTATCAGGTTTTTGACCAAACACTACATGAATATTACAATAAGTTTTATACACATTAAATTCTTTTACAAAAGTTTCACTAAATTCATTATATTGTTCTTGAGTTATACCCCAAAGTGGTCTTAAAACAGGGCACATCGCTTTTGCTAACATTACAAAATCATCAGCCATAATTTTACCAATACGATCACCCCAAGTACCAACTGGAATCATTTTTGATTTATGTTCAATATTTTTCAATATTGTGAATTTATATATGTCCTCTAAACGTGTTGTCATTGTTAAATCAATATTTTTCGTCTTCATTATTGCGATCCCTGATTGTTAAAAAATATATATCTTGACAGTTAATTAAAAAAAATCGAATAATTTTTTTTTTTTTAAAAAAAAATAACTTACATGCTTCGCTCATTCTATAAGTTACTGGACCCTTATTTATTGCTGGAATCTCGAATTCTGTACTCTATATCCATGCATGAATAACATGAATAGATAAGTGAATGAATGAATGGATGAATAAATGAATGAATAACGGTTATTAACGTTAACGTTAACGTTAACGTTAATGTGTATTAAAGTATTAAAGAAAGTATCAAAGTTAATGTATGCATTAAACAAACCTCAATATAACCTCCAGGTTTAAGTACTCTAATCAATTCTTTCCATATTTTACTTTCCCAGTCATGTACAGTAAACGAAGTTATCATATTCCTTATTACTATAAAATCAAAAGATTCATCAGCATAGGGTAAATCCTCTAGAACATCTGCTTCTTCAAATTCAACATTTCTTGGTTTAATCTCTTTTGGAAACATTGGATTTATATCAATTCCTATGAAATGTGAATTGGGATAATCATATGCCATTTCCAAGGTAAATGTTCCTGGTCCACATCTATTTAGAATTAAAAATTGATAATGAAAAAAAAAAATTTTTTCTTTAAAAATCCAATCTACTATATTATTTATTTATAAAAAAAAAGCACTGCGGTAAAACGTTATTAAATCTTTAATTACCCAACATCTAAAACTTTGGCACCACTCTTTAACCTATTATTAACAGGTGCACAAAAATTAGATTGTAAAATATATCTTGCTAAATAATGTTGCATCTGTAATCTATCAATTTCTTCATCATCGTTAGGTAATGAATAAGATGAATTATCTAAATATCTTCTTCCATCTATATAATAAAATGTTGAAGCAGATTGACGATACGAATGTTCTATTTCTGCTGTTGTCGTTTCTGTAGCGTTATATTTAGTTTTTTCTGTAGAATGTTTAGGGGATCTTCTTTTAAATCTAATCAATGATTTCTTAACGCTTTGTAAGTTACCCATGAACGCTTTTTGTTTATCTATGAAAAAATTGATAAATTGAATGAATGAGATGTTTAGATGTGACCAGTTTTTAAAACAAGGAAATTGATTTTAAAAAATGAAATGAAAAAGAATTGAATAGAGTAATAGACTGGATAGAGAGTAACGAAAATTAGTAAAAAGAGGATTTACTAACGTTAAAATAATATTTTAATATGGGCGTTTATTACGTAATTTTCTCCAAACGTGTGTAAAAACGTGTGTGTAACAAAATCTTTTTTGAATGTAAAGAACAATGCACGAAGAAATCAAACAATTAACTAACCCATAAGACCATCTTAGGGTTTATTGAATTGTTTATTGAAAAGTTGCCATACATAAATGCCGTTATGTTTATTATTCGCTATGTGACAAGTTGGCGTTAAATTAGTGTAAGTTAATATTCTATAAAGTTTTTATGGTTTATTTTGTAAGTTAATCATTTCTATAAAATTTTCATTTTAAATAATTTTGGTCGCCTTGGCTATTATGCATACGATCTGTACTTAGGATAATATTTTCTTTCTTCTATAATAATTCACCGAACTTTATTCGTCCGAAATTGTTATGGTTGTAATGAACACGTGAAAAAGCTCTTTTATGAGTATTTATTAGTTTACCTTGATATGGTAATTAGAATGATCCTAAACGGAAAACAAGCATGTAATGGCAAAAATTTTGTTACCTAAATTTGTAAGTTTGATACGTAAATCACAATTGTTTGTACTTTTTTAAAATGCGATTACTTACAGTCTTTTTTTCCTATATTTGGGGGGATGGCTAAAGCCAAGTACATCACAATTTTTTAATTAAAATCGACTGATATTAGGGTTAGGTTAGATTAAATGGTTAGGTTCTATAATAAAATCGCATTTCCGACACTTTTACTTAGTGAATCAAGACCGGTTTAGATAGCCATTTTTTATATTTTTCGTGTTTTTGTCTTCCGGGCTGATCCGGGTTATATATCGGGTAATCCCGTGATGCACCTGGCTTTAGCCAGCCCTATATTTGGAAATAAAGTCTTATGATGTATTCTGGCCTCAAACTTCTCTATCGCTATTTATTCGTTAATTCCGATTGTAAAAAAAATTGGAAATCGATGATTTTAGATAATACATTTAATACATTTTAGCGCAGTAGTTACAAAAAAAAAGTCTTACCATTAACTATTTTCATAACTTACTGTTTGCCGAATTTGGGATTGTTTTAAAATATGATCATCCTGTTTATATAATATGTCACTCGCGACTTTTGAACATTTGTGGATCCATGCAAATCAGATAATATTATGAAGCCATGTGCTATTAGAATGCTGTAAATCATATAAAAAAAAAACCCATCTAAAGCAAGTATTTCATACATTTGACCATCCATAAACGAATCCATAAGCACCTAAAAGTAGCTAATTTAGTCTCAACTCATATAATGTTACATGAATTACGTTAGGAGTGCACTTATAAAAGGAAAGTGAACCTATAGAGAATGCATTTATGAAAGATATTGTATAAGTTTTTTTCTATATTTACTTTCGATATAATTTTGCTTGCAGGGATTCTTAACGTTTTATCTTACGTCTTACGTTAAAATTTATGAAATGCACGGAAACAATTTTTGTTCTAACTCAAATTGATTATGAATAATGATAGACATGAATATGACGTTTACAGTTATGAGTTTTAAACTTAATTTTTAAATTTGATTTTAAATATGATATATTTTTCATATGTTCGCTTAGTCAAAAAATTATGTCATTACATAATCTATAATTTAAGTTTGCAGTAAACCCAACTTTAGAAATGGTTACTATTCGATCAAAATAGTTTTTCGTTTGACCATATGATCATCATGCGTGATCGATCATATCTACTTCTTTTAGAAAACAAATATCAATTGCTAAATTGTATAAGAAACTTCAAAGTTCTTGATGTCCTTTTTATTGGCTCGAAAATGGATTGTATATAGTCAAGTCGTACCAGATTATTCATAATAATGCTAAAAATTTTTGCCAATTATCTTAGGGCAATCACCGGAGGTGAAACTTACTGGATATGTTGTTCCTCACAAATGGTTTTGAAAATCGGTTTGGTATACTAAGTAAAAATGTTCAGCACTTTAAAAAAACCCTAACCTTTGATCTAATTTTAGCTTTAAAATTCGTAGTAAATTTTCTATAAATCATAATAACACGACAGGGAGAATCATCACACGAGGATGAAATTCGCTTTTATATTAGAAAACATAATAAAACGCGGATTTCACCCTAAACCACTCTACAAAACGGATTTCACTATTTCGCAACTCAAGTTTCACCCAGTTCTATATAATAATAATTAAAAACATATCGTGGTATATTTCATCTTCGGTGAATACTAAATAAATTCTTTTTTTAAAAAAATTTTTTAAAGAATAAATATATACAGTACATTATTAACAAATTTTATTAAATATATATTCTTTATAGAAAGATTTTAATGCTCGCCGGAAATATTGATAATCCATACTTTTTTGAAAGCTTACTTATTTTATGTGTCATTTGTCAATTATTAATTAATTGACGCATATCATTTTTTGTTTTTCAATCGGTATAAATTTATAATCATTAAAAAAAAATTATAATCAAAAAAATTTTTTTTATTATAACGACTTTATATTATAATTCTTAGAGCCGGGTTATCTAAAATATATAACGAAAATCATTCAAGCTATATTTATTTATGCCTTATATCAAGAACTTAGATATTGGTTAATAAAATATTAAGTTATTGTATCAAAAACATCAACTAAAAAATATTGATATTTATTAGTTTGAAGGCAAATTTACAAAAAATTTGGGTCAAAACAGAAGTCGGAACAAAAGGTTTCTAATATAGGCTGACTTATCAGAATTTTGTTTGTTCTGATTTGACTGACTGTTTATTATGTAAGAGAGGGGGGTTAGCTCTATTAATTAATATCTAGTAATTAACCCACAAAATTTTTTCCAGCACGTGATTACCGTTACAATTTTACGCCACATCACGCATTTTCCATTTTACTATTTAACGCGATCAGCATATCTAGTAATTAACCCCCAAAATTTTTCCGGCACGTGATTACCGTTACAATTTTACGCCACATCACGCATTTTCCATTTTACTATTTAACACGATCAGCTAAATGTTTTTTCGTTTTTTTCAGTGCTTTTTACGACGTTCTTTCGGTGGTCTTTATGACGTTCTTTCGGTGATCTTTACGACGTTCTTTCGGTGGTCTTTACAACGTTCTTTTGGTGCCCTTTACGTCGTTCTTTCGGTGCTTCTTATGTCGTTCTTTCAGTATGTTTTTTTTTTTTTTTTTTTGTGTGCTTTTTACGTGTTTTTTCAATGATTTTTACATGCTTTTACATTGTTTTTTCGACGTTCTTTCGGCGTCTTTTCGTCGTTTCTTCGGTGTTTTTTCTTAACGTTCTTTTGGTGGGTTTTCACCGTTCTTTTGGTGTCTTTTTTGTCGTTTCTTCGGTGCCTTTTCGTCGTTCTTTTGGTGCCTTTTTTCGACATTCTTTTGGTGCTTCTTTCAGTGTTCTTTTGGCGTTTTTTCGGTCTTCTTCTGATGTTTTTTCAGTACTTTTTTTCATGTTCTTTCGGCACTTTTTCGACGTTTTTTTGGTGCTTTTTTTGACGTTTCTTTGGTGTTTTTTTTTGATGTTATTTGGGTGTATTTTTTGTTGTTCTTTTGGTGCTTCTTTCGATGTTTTTTAGGTGCTTTTTCGTTGTTCTTTTGACACTTTTTCTGTGTTTCTTTCAACGTTCTTCAATGTTCTTTTGGTGTCTTTTTTCATGTATTTTTGGTGCTTTTTTCAACATTCTTTCGTTATTCTTTCATTATTTTTTTGTCATTCTTTTGTAAATTAGATAATTTTGTATGCAATTGTAATTATAATAATAAAATTATTAAAAAAAGTTAAATAAACATAAAATGTATAGTATTTTCTTGACAAGGTAAATGTTGACGTGAACATTAAGGTCAATGTTGAGGTGAATGTTGACATGAACTTTAAGGTGAATGTTCACGTCAACGTTGAGGTCAACATTAAGGTGAACGTTCACGTCAATGTTGAGATCAACGTTAAGGTGACCGTTCACGTCAACGTTGAGGTCAACGTTAAGGTGAACATTCACATCAATGTTGAGATCAATGTTGAGGTGAACGTTGAGGTGAATGTTGACATAAACGTTAAGGTGAACGTTTACGTTAACGTTGAGGTCAACGTTGAGGTCAACGTTGAGGTGAACGTTGACATGAACGTTAAGGTGAACGTCCATATTAACATTGAGGTCAATGTTGAGGTGAATGTTGAGGTAAACGTTGACATTAACGTTAAGGTCAACATTGAGGTTAACATTGACATAAACGTTAAGGTGAACGTTCACGTCAACATTGACATGAACGTTAAGGTGAACGTTTATGTCAACGTTCACCTCAACGTTGACATAAACGTTCACCTCAACGTTGACCTCAACATTGACATGAACGTTCACCTTAACATTAATGTCAACGTTCACCTCAACATTCACCTCAATGTTGACCTCAATGTTGACGTGAACGTTCACCTTAATGTTCATGTCAACATTCACCTCAACGTTGACCTCAATGTTGACATAAACGTTCACCTTAACGTTCATGTCAACGTTCACCTCAACGTTGACCTTAACGTTCACGTCAACGTTGAGGTCAACGTTGAGATGAACGTTGTGGTGAACGTTGGCATCAACGTTAGCAGAAATTAGTGAAGTGGCTTAGTCATATGCCAAAAAATTTTTTGGGGGTGATCTACAGGGGTTCGATCAGCTAAATGTTTTTTCGTTTTTTTCAGTGCTTTTTACAACATTCTTTCAGTGATCTTTACGATGTTCTTTCGGTGATCTTTACGACGTTCTTTCAGTGCCCTTTACGTCATTCTTTCGGTGCTTCTTATGTCATTCTTTCAGTATTTTTTTTTT